CCTGTCAGGTTAGCCGGCCTCCCCGAGAATCAAACCAAGGACTTAAACCACCAAGAAGCAGAAATGTTAACCTTTAAACTCCAACGTTGCACTGCACAGAAACAAGCAAAGAAGGAATGAAATGAGCTGAAAAAATGCCAATGCTACTAAAAGCAGATATTTCATAACCGAGTAACTGCAAGGAGCAGAAGCATTCTTGAGAGGGTAACAGTCGCTCAGCTGGTAAAGGAAATACTTGCGTTCTAGACAGCCCAAATGTTCATTACCGTGTGCATAAGAGCCTGCCGGTTCCTGTCCTAAGCCACACTGAGTCCAAATTGTCAAACTTTTCTTTTTTCTTGAAGACATTGTCGGGGATCTCCGAAACATTTCGTAACATGCTAGGCTTCAAGATGAAGTGCTGCCAGTCTCCATCACAACCCCTAAGTTAAAGGACCGCACCTTTTCGGCCATCCGCGACAACCCATTCAGTACATCCGCTTCACATCCGGATGCCGTCTCACGCATTTCTCGGCCACGCCAGGCCACAGTAAACCTGCTAGCTCACAGTAAATGCAAGGACTAATTTATTTCAATCATTTCTCGTCACATTCAAAGCTTCATTATACTTGATACAGCATCATTAAAATCTAAGGAGGCACATAAAATCGCTGTGTTCCTCCAGGGACAGGATATGATATCCCAGATGTGGGTTTGCTACTGAGCGATTTTTACAGTTCCTGCATTTCTCAAACCGCTGAAGACTGACGCATAGGAATGTGTTACTTGATTCCTTATTGGTCTCACGCGCAGCAGACTGTACCGTGACCTACAGGCCATATTCTTAGAACCCGTTGACAAGCACAAGAGTATGCAAATGAAAAGGCGCGGAATACACCAGCTGTTGGCTGCACAAGTAGAAAGCAGTTGGGCAATTTGTAGAGATTCAATAATGGAGTAAATAGCCTGAACGGTAAACATCTACCATACTACACTGCGTAACAATCCAGAAGACAGAAATCTTCAGCATGAATAGAGTCTCTTGCCTAAGACTTTACGTATTTCAGACAGCACTTTTAAAAATTAGCCGGTAAAATGTTGCTGCACAATAATACCATAAACGGAAAAAGGCATCTCTCACATTCAAGCAATAACACGTATTGAGTACTGAAGATAAGATTTGGATTGCAAGGCAGTTGGAAGGAACCGAAAACTAAAGCACTACACATTTTGTACTCCTAAAGATATATTATTGGTGCATTCAAAGCAAGGGGGTTGGGCGATCGTGCAGCATGCATGAAATAGGTGATAGATAAATGCGTACAAAATAATGGCTGGGAAACCTGAAGGTAAGGTGGAATCGTTGTGCTCCTCCGATACGTCAGCATACAACCTCCATCTTAACCTTGAAGATGGAGGCGATTATGTTTCTCCGAAACTAACTTCGAAATACACGGCGCAACAACCCACGAGACCACCATTTGCATCCATTTCGCAGAAAAAACCCTAAACTACCCTGCCGGGAATCGAAACCAGTCGTCTAGCCCGCAGCTTAATAAACTGAGCTGCCTCGGCTCTTAGCAATAGGACACGCTACGTGCCCTATGATAATGTAGAATTCAATGCATGGACAGAAATCTCGCTTACGTTTGTTTTATAAGGCTTCTAATCACCATCTTACGTAAAGTAGACCTATTAGCTGGTCGCTTGTTCCGGCTTATCCATTTCTTACACCTTTGTCCCGGATCTCTCCGCCAATTTCGGCAACAGTTCAGGGTTTTCCCTGCAAATATCCCCATCTTACACATTTTGTAGTTCTACGCTTTTAATGATACTGTTATTATCTCTCAACTGTTCAGTTGAAACACGCAGAAATCCAAATATATGCATGCAGCTATAGATTCGTTTTTACGTTAATAAATGCGCTTATCTACAGAGTTATTAATTGTAAGTCAAACAAAAAAGCTTCCTGTTGAGAAAAGTCATTAAAACTAATTTTGCCTTTGTGTGGGCGGACACAGCCTTCAAGTATTCACATGGCCAAGATGCACATCACTTACGTAAGTCAAAACTGTGACGTCACTCCACCGTGTCTATCAGTGCTTATATCACTTTGAAGGTCTTTCACAAATCGCATAGTAACTCGGGTCTATTGGTTCTAACTGCATCGGACTGCATAAAACTTCCACTGTGACCTCAACGTTCGAAAATATCTGGCATTAGTAAGCCTAATCTCTACTAGAGCCCACTGCAATCAACGAGAGACTACTGTCATAAAAGCAGTAATTTCCTTAAGAATACCTACTACGTACCGTATCCTTCAAACCTGGTTAGAAGAGGAATACGCCATGTTAATTACAAATATACATTTTAAATATTTCGGTTTCTTTCAGCTAACACTACATGTGTTGGCCTTGTTAAATTTTCGTGTTCAGTTCCCACCATACAAGACTGACTTGTAAAATATGTTTTTACAATGAAAACACGTCTTCTATTAGTACCTCTATATCTTACTCCATTTTCATTTTAACGTTTGTTACTGAATTAAAATCCTTATGTAACTTCATTCTTCTCAAAGAAATATTTGCGGTCACATTTTCCTGCCCCTTTGATACACGAAGACTATCAAAATGATATTTAAATTTTCATTTCCTAATCAGAGAAAATACAACGCGCCTCCATTACAAAGATCATTTGGTTAATGCTGTTTAGAAAAATTATCGTTTTTATTATTGGAGTCCCAAAAACATGAATACGCTCCGTGAGTAAAATGCAGAGTTACTGAATGTAGAACTAGTAGGTGGTACATACAGTCACAGCTGTCCTTTAAACGGTTAAGGCAACTTAACCTTTACTATTATTTCTTAACTTCTGTGTCAATATCTTAGGTGTCATGATTATTTCTTCATCGATCCTTCATACACACACACACACAAATATGCCGTCGACATTCGACGAGACCACAAACCTCGTGACACAGTGTGGGGCATAGAACCGCGACGGGAGCCATTATGGCTGTATTTACCGCTCCTTATGTCAGGAAATGGCAGCGACAGGCTTCTTCAATTTGCAGAGCTAATTCTGAGCATTGTCCGCATTCCAGTGGTTCCACGATCAAAGCAACAGAACTTTCTACGCCACCAAATCGACGTCCGGCATCTGTAGTGGTGCCGCTCCCACAGTGAGACCGCCGTCCGCCTTGCAGCGGGATCTTGGTGGCCTACGGGATGACGTGTTCGCTGACAACAAGAGCAGGCAGGCGTGCGGCAGCCTGGACTGGGACTCGCGTTTTCCAGGCCTTTCTGTGCGACTCTTTCGTACTACACTACAATACGTCCAACATGAAGGGTAGGGAAACTGACCAAGGCTGTTCAATTTTCAGATCTGTACCTTCACTTACAGCCCTTAGTCGCTGAATTTATGGAGTCTGTTATCAATAAGCGTCATGATCCACTGTGTGAGAGGAATGTTACGGGATGTGTCTGCGTAGTAGTAGTAGCAGTAGTAGTAGCAGTTTATTAAAATGAAATAAATAAACCGCAAGTTCGTTGCACAGTTTACTTCATATTACATTCTGCAAAGAGTACGAAGGTCGCGTGGTCAAAGGACAGCCTCCTTTCCGTTCCGCGCACATGAGCACATCAACCGCATTAAAACATAGCGACGACCTTACATGAAACTTAAAATCCTTCAGCTCCACTTCCTAAAAATATGACGAAATAAAACGAGAAAACGAAGAAAGGAGAGAATCAAGGACACAAAATAAAACAAGATGAAGACGAGATAAAGAAAAACCGAGAACACAAAGGGTAAATGTATAAACAGTAAGATAACATACAGAAGGGCATACAGAACGAAGAAGAAACTAGGACAGATAGAGGATTATAACTACGTCTACACAAACCAAGGAAAAATAACTATAAAGCAACTGACTGCTGATAGATAAAGCTGTCTATGATCATGGATTTTAATTAACCTATCAGCACGCCAAAAACGCAGAAGGCTTTGCCATTAACCCTTTGAAAAACAAGCTCGTCTAAATATAATTTAATAATTCAGTATAAGTAACCACCTGAAGGGGGTTAAGAAATTCACGAAAACCTCAAGTTTTGGTGCTTGTTGCCTGGAAGAATTTGAGATTATTCAGTAAAATAACGCAAATTGTAATAACGCGAGTAGGCATATAACTGTTAAAGATTAGTTAGACAGAATGTGGAAGGAATACGTCGTAGCCTATTTTAATGAACTGCCTGGTCGTACAGGGGGAACACACGAAGGATTTCAGTCAGCGTTCGTCTTCGGCCCGAGATTCGAGCCCCGGGCTCCCTGAATACGAAATACGAGCATTAAACCACGTCAAATCATTTGGTTTTGTTCATGAATGAAATATATGTATTAACTGACTGCATTAGTCATTCTTAGAAAACTGAAATGCAAATTAACGAAACGACGACAGCTCTACAACTCTATTTCTTCGCAACTTGACACCTCAACTACTGACATACCCAAACACATGGTCGGTCATTGCCTTCGACTTGAAGTCTTATTTATATTAGGTGTACAAAGATTATTTTGCACAGCATCAAGACTTCATGTATCACCGCTATTTATTGGTTGAAGTATGAGAAAGGGCGTTTACCATTGGTCCACATAAATTGTCCTCCACCTTAGCCACGGGTTAGCGGAAGATGGAACCTTTTCAGCATTCAGCTCACATTCAGATACGTGGATAACTCTGTACAGTTCACACCATCCAAATGAGGAACATATTTTTAAATATTTTGTTTTCGTCACTCAGTAAATTCTCGTAAAATTACGCAAACTGCATTACATTTTTCTGTTTCGTGTCAAGTCGGCTGTCAGATGTAGATGGCCTTTTGTTATTTTCCAGTGGCTATAGTTGTGGTATTTGTGGCTGGTGTTGATGTTTCCAAAGTGCATATTGTACTCTCAGAGCACGGCGCATGCGTCGTTCAGGTAACAGGTGGAAATGGAGGGGAATGATCATGGGCATGTACACCGCAGGTCAGTCTGCGAGTGAATGGCAGTGAGTGAGGTGTGATTCACGTCTTTGTAAGAACTAAATTCTAATTAAAATGTGTTCCTTGTTCATTCTGTATTACTGACGTGGATGAAAGTGATATAGAAATAACTGGTGTTTATTATAATTGATGTTCGTTTTAAAACTCGAAAACGTTCAATAACGTGTGAATGGTTATGAAGTGATTGTTAACAGAATAACGGTACTAGATATGGAATTCGAATTGAAACAAAACTAGCATTTCGTAGAAACGAAATTACAGTTCAGTTAATTCTCATATTTTACAGTAATTATAAAAATAAAAACCTGGGAGAGCGTGTGTGTGAATATATGAGAAAGTAAAATGCGCGTGAAAGTGTGACGGTGACAAAAAAAATACATTTAATAAATACAAAGTTAAAACATAAATAGTAGGAAAATCAGACTATTGTCCTGCAGCTAGCGACGGAGAGATTAAATATATATATATGTGCATATAGTCAGAGAGTATAAAAATGGCGTCTCCCCGAGGGGAACCCGATTCTACGCCGATCTGCCGGTGCCGTGTCTTGTATCTTGGTTCTGCCGTGCCCCACGTGACCAAAGATGGCCTCCAAGGTATTCAAGAACCTCTCCGTGAACTGTACCCCGAGCAAGGAGCCCTCGGCGCTAGAGGAATCGACTCCTGGCTTAGTGTATGGAGTAACGGCTTACTGCTTGAGAATGTCGACGAGAATCACAAGAAAGTAACACGATTCTTTCCAATAGACAGTCTGCACTACTGCGCAGCCGTCAGGTATGTCTTGGTGCCTGAGAAAACAACGTCGGGTACCTCCCAGCCCGCAACCCCAAGATTCCTTCCACTGGATTCGCCCTTCGCTCGAAGCCCCAACCCAAGCCACCCACCATTATTTGCAGCTATCTTGCGCCGGACAACGGGTATCAAGGTTTTGGAATGTCACGCCTTTATCTGCAAACGGGAAATGGCTGCAAACGCGCTCGTGAGATGCTGTTTCCATGCTTATGCTGATTCATCATATGCCCGTCATATTGATGGGGGCAGCACCAGTGTTTATGGCACCCTTAGGAGCCACAATGCAGAGTCACAGCCAATAATGGCTACGAGCAGTATTGAAAAAGTAGAGGGTTGGCGTCGGATGTCGCCGTCGGGAGGAGCTGCTACAAGCGGAAGCACCTTGACGCTAAACAGTCAAATTCAGCCAGGGCCATCAACACAGAACCAAAATGGAACCCTCACATCAAACGCGACGACGACGATGTCAGCTGGAGACGACATATCGATATACAACGGAGACGAAAACCACAAGGTGTGGGCCGGGTCGAGCACTGGCCCAGTGGCGGACCGGGAAGAAATTTATGGTAACTACAGTGGCAGCACCATGAGAAGTGCCCGTTCAGGCCGACCGAGGCAGATGGTCACCCCTGTGACATCTCCACCTCCACCCCCGCCTACAAAAGAAGACGGTAAAAGCAAGAAAGCAAATAAAGAACGCGCAAGAAGGAAGAAAATGATGGGCGGAAGTAGAGAGGAGTTGTACCCTTTAATGAATGGCTCTTTGGTTAGAGGCGCTGCTGCACATCCCATAGTCAATGGAGGAGGTATGAGGTCTTCCAGTTCTTTAAGCGGCACACTAATTAAAGGAGGCACAATGCCATATCAGCATCACTACTCAAACGGCTCCATGCTGAGACCATCGTCAGCTCAGCCCATTCCGATGAACGGTTACCACCCGCATCCGGGTCCGATTCTGGTAGTCCAACACCCAACTACCACTCTGCCACACCCTCGACACATGAAGAAGTCGGCCTCCACTTTCTCACATCGTCCAGTCAAGCCCGGCATCATAATCCCTGGACGATCCATAATCCAAGCACCTCTTTTACCTGCAGGGCCTCACCAAGGGCCTGTAATGCCAATAATGGCAGCGATTCCTCCAGCGGCCGGCAAGAAATCGAAACACCACCATCACCCTCCAGTTGCTATAGAGGAGCCCATCTACATGCCGTCCGCACGACCGCTAAGCCCAATCGCGTCATTCCAACCCGCGCATTTCCCCCACGAGGCGTATCTCATGCAACAGTACGCTAACACAACTATGGATACGAAACAGAAGAAGAAATCGGGCAAGCGTGATGGTAAATCGAGCAGTAAAAAGGTCGGGCCTCTTGTGAATGGTGACAGCGATGATTCTTCACCCCCGCCGCCAATAATAGTGGTTGAAGAATCGCCCTTCAACACCGGAATATACAGGAAAAAAGGGCACCTTAACGAAAGGGCGTTCTCATATTCGATTCGTCAAGAACACAGATCGAGATCATATGGATCACTGGCGAATCTGAAGTTTGCAACACCGATACCGAACGGTGGAGGACCACCGGAGACTGTCAACAAAGTAGATCTGAAGAAGGAACGTGAAATTATGCAGATGATGCACGATTTGGAGTTATCTGGGGACGAGGTGGAGCGGTCAGAAGTGCCTGCGGCTGTATATGAAAGCAGGAGAGCTGCAGCAATGGCGTCAACACCTGGACCCCGTCGGTAGACGGCGCCACGGATCAGGTATGTCACTCACTTAAAATGGCCGACCAACAGAGTTCCGCGTCGATGGTTCTTCGGTTATTTAACCCGTTGCTATACTCTGACAGCTGTAGGTCGCCCGCTTGTTCGTGTGGTGCCAACTACCTCGAAGGGCTACAAAATGCCACAGGATGAACGTAGACGTGCAACTTGCTTATACGGGTGTTTCGAGACGCTTATGCTTAAGCATCATGATCAGTCTGCTACAGGTTAAAACTGCTGTTTTATTTCAAATTTCAAAAGAAATTTCTGTTGTGTTTGCCGGCATAAATACCTTTCACTAGAGAGAGTACCTGACTACAATATTTCCAGGATCTCGTAATTTTTAACCGTGTAACTAGCTTATGGCCTCGAACGGTTGCATCATTCCACGCCTGCAGATGCTCCGGGCCTCGGATTTAATTCCTAGCATGGACAAGGATGTTTCTTTTCGCCACGACGTCTAACCCGACTCTGAGACTATGTTTCATGCTCCTGTTATTTCAGTACGTTGTTTCAACTGCGGAGGTTCATCGTTTAATAAGATAAAATGAGATGAAAGTATGAATGGCGAAATGTACGGATTTTGAAAGAGACACTCGTCACCCGTTTCAAATTAGTAGTTCGGGATTCACGTGGACAGTTTGAGGAAAATCATGAAAAATAAGAGGTCTTGAGAAGACATGCCCCCGGCCGCCCCCTATCCCAAATGAGATGAACGCAGTCAAAACTCCCGAGCTCTGTTTACCAAATATCTATTTTAATATGAAAATCTCCATCTACGCTTAGGTATTCTGAATTATTTCTTCCCTTCAGGCTTCCAGACTATTTTTTGTTAAGCGTGATTGGCGGACGTTCGAACCGAGTACTTCTTGAATACCCGTCTAGATTCTTGTAGGTACGTCGGTCGCGCGGCTCCTTTGTTGGGAAATATCATGTCGGCTCACTGTTACAAGCGACGGTCTTGGGTACGAACACTGAAAATCCAGAGCTGCAGTCTGAAATTCTACCGCAACTTAGTTGCGCTCTGCTTGACTTTTACAATGTCCACAAAAGTGACGAAAGTCAATGGTACTTATTTAATTTTTGATCTTACGGTTTCAATTCTGGTTACCTAGGTGATTATCTGCTAAATAAACTGTGCACAGTCAATTTACACACTTTCTCATATCCGTTACACGCGTAAAAAAGCTGAAGTTTCGTTTCACACTAATTACTGGCAATTTTGGAGGCAGAGTACCTCAGTTAATTGAAGCGCTTACAGCATTCGACTGTACATACTGAGGAAAATCACAAAAGAATTACAGTAAGGATAACCGGTAATCTGGGTAGGTTCGAACTGAGAACCTTCCGAAAACAAGTGAAAAGTGTTACTAGCATGCCCACATGATCGATGTGTTTAATGTCACGTATTCCCACTGTATTATCCTATCATCTAACAAAGTTGGAACTGTATGGTCTCACGATGATAATGTTACTGGCCACGCAAGATCAAATAAAAAGCTAAATACAGATTTTGGGCAGCCTCCATGTTGCTGTTTTACAGTCTACAAATTAATTATTTTAAAAAGTTGTATTATCAGGATATGCATGAAATTGCGCTAACGTCACTCCTAGAGGGGAATTCGCTTGACCGCCATATTGGTTAACTGTAGGAAATTAAAAGTACAGAGTACAAGAATGACATTATTTTTATTCAAGGTTTCATGGAAATTTCTGAATGCATTCTCGGGGGACGAACACAGAACCATGGCAATGCCATAGGTCTGTTGTTACTTTTAAAGTATAAAAAGTGGATTACAACTGTAAAAATAAACACAACCCTCCAGACACCCAGTTCATATTAATTTGTATGCTATTGCAGTGAAGTACTTATTTCCAGCCAGTCTTCGTTGCAATGCATTCAGTCGTCGTCAAAACCTTGTGTTGTATTGTCCATTTTGAACAGCGTATTCCCTCTTAACTCATACCTCTGAATGTTTGTTCATTGCCAAACTAGAACTCACCCTGTTTGCAGCCAATTGTCGTGCAAGTATCAACGATCCACTTTAATGTAACACATTTCTGACTCTAACAAATTTTTCTCCAACGTGATAATTGCGTTCCTTACACCTGCAGTACAAAATACGCGTTTACAAAAGAAGAAGCCTGTCAGAAAGTCCTTCCTCACGGATACGAGTCAGAAAAAGCTAACGGCATTTTGCTACGTCTGATTCTATTCTGTTTGAATGAGACACTCAGGTCATCATTAGCATAGCACAAATTCAATTAACTTAAAGTTTAAAACAAATAAAATGAATACATATAATACACGGTAGTGTGTCATATTTAATTGTGGATTGTTTGTTAGATAAATACTTTGTCTTAAAGCAAGTACGCCATAAACGAGTCAAAGAGACGTTAAATAAGCAGGGTCACTCAATGTTAGAAGCACAAAATTTTAGGAGGTCATAGGTAGCCCCGAAGGCTGTAAAATATCTTCAGACAGACACACATCTTGCTATGAAAGGAGCAGCTGTGCCAATAATCATGTCTGTGTGCCCTCAATTCACTACGTCACACATAGAAAACACACAATAACCAGTACAACGGGAAGCCCATTCAAACGTGAGTAGGAATCATCATTAGGAACCACTGCACTTGTACGGCTTGAATTCCAATCCATCGTATGCGATACGCACATCATGATTCCAGCAGCGCAACACATTTTGAAAGACAAAAAAAAAAAAACTAACGCTAAATTAGAACACAAGATTATTGCGCATGAACTGTCGTTACCACCGCCACAAGCAACTGAAAAATCAGAGAGAGAGAGAGAACTGCCGTACCTTAATTATTGTCATACCAGAGATCGAAAGCTGAATTACGTAACACTACATTCGTATTGGTATCAAGCGTTCCAGATGTTCTCAGACTGGCGGCACATGAATTTCTCTAGAGGGATCCACAAACTGCAGTGACTTAGTGATGGGAAAACTGGTCTCATTTTATCTGACGACGAACATGGAGCCTGGGTCCCAAACATTACCACCTGTTCTGTCCTGAACAGAAGATCATGTTTGTAAAAATACGTCACCGAACCACTCGGCTCAAATGTGACCCAACCAACAGATGAGATTTCGGCCATTTTATCCCGAGTGTCTCAGTTTAACCTGCTGTTCCGGGTGGGTGCGATACTTGGTCTCTCTCGCTGAAGAAAGGTGTTTTAGGGCATGGCGCCGAGCAGACCATTTCGGCCAAAGACAGAGGGCAGAGGGAGTAAAAAAAGATGCTGGAGAAAACTCTATGCTATAATGAAGAGCTCTGATCTTTATGTTGACTTCAGAGCATACAGTTCTCTGTCGGCTCCAGCTAGCTGCAGCTCCCCGTATCATATATTACGCAAGGTTTTGGCTTTTTTATTTTCTATCATCCATCCTTTGCAAATGTTCAGGCTGTACTTTCCGTCACAAAATATCAGGATATCAAATCAAGACGGATGAGATAAGAAATATCATTTTAGTCGAAAAACCTGAAGGGTAGAAATCACTTGTTAGACCTAGGCGTAAATGGGACTATGATACTAAAATGTAAAATACCGACTGGATCATGTCTTAGGATAGGACCAACGTACGGCTCTTGTAAACACGACAGTGAACATTGGGATCCATAAAATGAGGGCAAATGTTTAATTATTTGAACGACTATAAGCTTCTGAAAGACTCTGCAGCATGGAATTAGTATTAATTGCAGAGGTTGTGTATTATGAGAAGTAATGATGATTTAGCCCTAAGTACGATGAATTGGGAGAAGCTGCTGGCCTGTATAAAGAAGTAGCACTTTGGTAAATCTGAGAAAAACATAAATATACAAACATGAAAGCATCCTGGGCACAGGTTTAAATCCGGTCAACCTAGAAAGCAAGTCAACGCCTCAACATTAAACTAATCTGCCAGGCGCCATGTACAGAACAAACAGAGGAGTTTGTTGAAGTGCTAAGTGGAGGATTATGGAAGCACGTTTATTTTTCGTAAGTTTATACACACTATCACATGTTTACGTTAAGAGAAAATTCCAACATCGTCAGGCAGCAGAAGGGAAAAATAAATAAATAAAAATGTTTCAGAATTCACCTGAGTTACACAAAATGAATGAGAAAGGTTAGAAAATTTGTTTTTAAGTTACATTTGCAATTTTGGTAATGAGAAGTAACTAAACGACCAATCAACTAGGAATGTGTGTCACATTTCCACGCAGTAGGGATCGTCATTTATAGGCCTAATCGTGACATTAATCATTTATTTACAAATATTTTCTCACATCGCAGTCAATAGTACGAATCCCAATACTTCATGTTCTCTGCAGTAGGCTAGTAGATTGTACGAGAAAAACAAAACAAATACGACACCAAAGTTTATTAGAAATATTATCAAAAACATCACATTCTCTCTGCAATATGAACATTATAAGTGGACAAGTTTTCATTAGGGAAACTGAGCTTTGTTCAACTGATATTACGAATAGTCTACCTGTTTCATTACCCACGTCAGACTAGTGCCTACAGACTTATAAGGTTCTTGAGGTGAAAATGCTTAATTCGTTCAAACAGCAAAAAATTAGTTTGGTTTTAGAATAATTTTGTCAGTATGTTCTGTTATTCACTGATATAACGTTACTGCATATGATGTCTTGAGGTTTTCATGGCAATGCATATTCACTGCAGAGTTTTTTGGATCTTAGACCGACATTAAAGGTCGAGGCAGTACGTCCTCCAAAATACTGAAACTCTTCTATCCTGCCTTACGTACACTGTAGTTGAAAGTGACCGCTGATAGTCTGCAGTCTCCAAGTGCAAGGTATTTCACATAAACGTTACATACTGATTGTATTGTGGTATTGTTCTATGCATCTGTTTCACGTGCAACGAGATCTTCAAGAAAAAAATTACATTTGCATTTCACGACGTAGAACATATACGTAAACTCATTAGTATTTATTTTCTTTTTCCTTTTAAATCAGATGAC